TGTCCTGTAGGGTCCAGTGGCACAGCCTCCCCATTCACCCAAGCTGGGTGCTCACGGGGGAAGCACCTTAATCTCCGAATGAAGCCGGGCCTGCGTCCGCCGCACCTGAGCGCTGCAGGGGCCGCACATGGTGCGCGTCCCTCACCGGGGACACTGCCGTGTGCCCTCCGGACCTGGATCGCTGTGAGAGCTGTAACCTGAATTTACTTTCAGCAGTGCGTGTTGTCATAGAGAGTGTTCGATGGTGGCACTGTGTTTCTTAGGACACTGTTTCCGAAGCGATGAGGTTCCGGGAGCCCAGTGAGCATCTGCAAGACGGCCCTCATCCCATCCCCTTCCCACCAAAACCCTTTGTTAGTAAATTACTCACTTGAAATTTGTGTCATTACCACATCTTGTTTGTCTGTTTGTTGGAAAAGTATTTACTAATGGGATAAATTGGTATCTAGATCTGTTTCCTTTTTTTCCTTAATCAACAAATCATTTGGACTAATGATAATCACTGTGAAAACATATAGATTAGATAAAGAACTACATGCTTTTATTTTTAAATTCAGTTTGTTGTTCTAGTCTGTATTCTACTGTGAGTGGCTCAGGGCCCCGGGCAGCCTGGGGTTTCCTGGACAGTGTCTTGTGGGAGGAGCCGGGCTGGATGCATGCCCCGCTTGGTCCACCACCTGCCCTTCCAGGCGCACACAGGATCAGGTGGTGAGGCTGCCGGTGACCCCAAGCCTGCCTAGAGCTGCCCCAGTCTTTGGGGGATGATTTCATTCACCACCAGGGCGAGTGTTTCTCCTGGCGTCCTTAAAGCAGCTCGAAATTGCCCACTAGGCAGCAGGAGAAGCCGGGTGTGTGCTGACCTCTCCGCCCCGCGCTGTGGGGCGTGGTGTGGCCTGCTTGAGCCAAGACTGGCGGCAGGTGCGTGCAAACACAAGGCTGCCAGCAGAGGGCGTGCGCCGCACTTCTGGGCTCCTCTGCGCGAAGCCCTTCGTGGTTTTTGCAGCGTCACAGTTGAATTTGTAGTGGAGAACTGACTTATTGTAAGTAACGAAATAAAGGCAATTTTAGTTTTTTTAAAAAGGGTCATAAGGAGATCAATCATTTTTTCCTAAAAGCCAGTTTATTTTACATAATTGCTATTCTTCATATAATCATATTAGTGAAGGAACTGCAAGATTAAGCAGATATAAAACAGTTAGGGAAGCTAGTTTATAATACCTTCCATTGGGAAGACATTCTGTGAACTACAAAATAGGCTACAAAATACATAGATGCACTTCTCATTTGCTCATTGCAACAGCCTTGTGAGTGGTTTAGAGAGGTGGGGAGGGCTAATATTTATTACTTTATTGCACTGATCAGAAAACAAAGACTCTAAGAAGTTATGGGCACAAACCCAGCAATTAAGTAGCAGACCTGGGACTGACACAAAAACCTAGTCAGGGTGACGGGTGGACTAGCGTGCTTCCCCTCCCCCGCCCTCCTGTCCTGAGTTAAAGGAGGCTCCAGGGGGAGGCTTCCGTGGGCATTCCCGTGGCTTGATGGGGAGATATATGTACATTTTGCATCTTTGATAAAAACCATTTAAAATTTAAAGAAATTTTAATAAATTTCTAGAAATAAAGAGTCTCTCGGATAAATGTTTGCCCCTCAACCAAAGGCTAGCTGATGATGGAGAGGAAGCTTAGTTATGACCCAATTTTCCTTCTTTATTTCTATTTTAAAGATATTATTATTATTATAATTATTTTTTAGAGAGAGGGGAAAGGAGGGAGAAAGAGAGGGAGAGAAACATCAGTAGGTTGCCTCTCTCACTCCCCCAACCGGGGACCTGGCCTATAACCTAGGCCTGTACCCTGACTGGGATCGAACCTGCCACCCTTGGCTTATGGGCGGACATCCAACCCACTGAGCCACACCAGCCGGGGCCCAGTTTTCTCTCCCTGGCTCCTCTGCTAACGGTTGGAGGTTCAAAGTCAGGAGGACGGGCACGCGTGAGCTCCACGTGGCTGCGGGGCTCCTGTCTAAGGCCCTGCTGTGAGTGCCCGGGGGCAGACGCCTGGGGCGTCTGGAGCTGCCGGCTCGGCAGTGCCGGCCGTCGTTTCCTTGGCCCTCCGCAGGCCTCCGCGGCCTGCACTGCACAGAGAGCGCAGACAGGTGTGACCACTAGCAACTCCAGGGGTGTGGCCGATTCAAAAATTACGGGGAGGCAGCCACTGAGCAAGGTGTGGGAGCAGCTCTATTAGGGGTAAGAGTGCAAGTGACTGTCGTAACTGGCTTTTTGATGAGACCGCGGGAGTCCAGCGTGCTTTGTCTCACTTTGCGTTGGTGTTTTTTCTCCAGGTTTTTTCTCACCTACTTCTTGAGTCCTTCCTGAAGAAACACGAAATTTCTTAATGGCAATAGAGAGAATCTTGTAGTTGGGTTGATACCATGCTCTAAAGTGAACATGATAAGAAACCAAAGTATTATTTCCATTATCAGTCTTTGTAGTGAACCAAGTCTGTCATGTGAAGTTTTAAGATCTTTGTGCGTTTAAATAATGAAATAAGCCTTATACTAAGCTGTTTTACACTAAAACAAATATTTTAGAGGTCCCACGGCAAAGACAATTATGTAGATTTCACTTAGAGTATACTTCTGATATCCCTGAACTCTCTGGGTTTGATGTATATTTTTGGATTCAATTTCCTAAATTTTGTTTAGAAATTTTATACATGTATTCATGAGGATTATCAGCCTGTAATTTTCTTGTAATATCTTTGTCTGGTTTTCATATCATGATAATGTTGGCCTCATAACAAGATTTGGAAAGTATTCTCTCCTCTTGAAATTTTTGGAAGAGTTTGTATAGAACTGGCATTATGTTCTCCTTAAATACAGTATTTGGTAGAATTCAACTTTGAAGCCGTTTGTGCCTGAAGATTTCTTTTGTGGGAAAGTTTTAAACTATAAATTCGGTTCCTTTTTAGATAGAGGACTATTCGCTCTATTTCTTTTTGAGTGAACTTTGGTAATTTGTGTTTTCAAGGAATTTGTCCATTCCATCTACGTTGTTGAATTTATTGGCGCTACGCTCTTCTGATCCCCCTTTCCCTTTTACACCTGTGGAAGCTGCGGTGGTCTCGGCTCCCATCCCGGCGTTGTCCGTTTGTGCCTCTCTCTTTCCTGAGCATTCTGACTGGAGCTTCGTCACGCTTGTTGTCTGCAGGAAACAGCCTTGGCGTCATTGTCTTCCCGCGTTCTGTCACATCGGGTTTGGAGGAGGAGGGCGGCCGCGCCCTCCGCCGCCCGGTTCCAGGTCAGCCCGGCGCAGGGAGGAGCCACCCCGCGGTGCCTCTGCTGACTGGGACTCCTGTGTCGATTCTGGGTGGGCTTCCGCTTGGTCACCTTTCTCTTCGCCTCCGCCCCCTTTGTTGCTGCCTCTCTGCCCCAGCTCATTTTGATCGGGTGCCACACATTGTTAATTTTATCTTCTCGGATGTTGGATATTTTTGTGTTTCTACAGATTTCTGGAGCTTTGTTCTGGGACTATGGTGAAATTAGCTGGAAACAGTTTGGTCCTTTGAGGTCTTGCTTTTAAGATTTGTTAGGAGGACGAGGGCAGAGTTTAGGGCCTTGTTCTCCACTACTAAGCCGCGGCCCTTCTGAGCACCCTTCCCGGTGTCCCGAGTCAGGCGGGTTTCGAGTCTGGCCGGTGGGACACAGGCAGCACCCCTGGCCAGGCCGCGCACGGGGCCTGGGTGCGTGGGCGCGGCCCTCAGCAGGCGCTGGCGTCCCGCTCTGCGCGGCGCCTTCCCGGGTCCTGTGCTTGCGAGCTCCCAGCCCTCGTTCCCTCTCCCCGAGTCCACTCAGCCACTGAATGTTATTTAACTGACGGTCTGTTTGGCATCTTGAGGTCTGAACATTAAAGAATTTATGGTTTTAATTTTGAGAGTCAGCTGGAAAATTTCAGCAGATGAAAATGATAGAAAATCTTTAATTTGTCTAGTTTTTACAATTCAGAAAAGATAGTATTAGTAGAGAAGATTTTAGAAAGGAGCAGAATATACATTAGTGATAAATTAATTTAGTAACCTAGTCCTATGATGATTTAAGCTTTTTAAAAATATTTGATATATGTAAAATTTCTTTCTAACTATAGATGAAATGTAAGAAACTGAGTCCTGAATCTTTGAGGGAGAGTCTGCCTGATGTGGAGCTCTCGCCGTCGCTCTTGTTGTCTGCTGATTCAAGCCGAGGCTGAGCCGCCGGGCTTTCCCTGTCGCTTTGTTAGTTTCCCTTCTCTGAGTCATTAATTAATCAGCACAAAGACTGTCACAGTTTAGTAAGGCCATGGTTTGATTCGTTTGACATACTGAAAATGTTAATTTAGGGGGAGAAACTATTAAATTAAAAAAGTGGCATCTGTCACAAGCAGTGAGAAAGTCAGCGGAGGAAGCGAGAAGCGCGGCAGCGGCTGCGGCAGCACAGCCCGGCGCGGCTCGGAGACACCGCAGCGCCCTGCTGCTTGCATTAAACACATAGTGAGCGGGTCCAAAAGGTTCAGCCCTACGAAATAATTGATTTTTTACGGTAAAACTTAAAAGGACTGGTTTCTTAAGCCAGTATTTCAGTGAAGTGACTATTCAACTGCTTGTTTTCTGTCATACTTAAAAATGCCTAGTGGTGTGTTACCAGATAAATTCTTTCGGCATCACAGACGGGGTTTTACTGCTTCCATCTCTTGAGATAGCAACATAAACACGTGTATAATGCGGCACCAGCACAAGAACATACGTTACTGAATTTTCCTCTCTTTTAAGAAATACTCAACTTTTAAAAGTTCAAAATGTCACTTTGTTTAAAATATCAAAGATCACAGAAAAAAAAAAATCAGTGTTCTAGGACACCAAAGGTATTTTAATAAAGAGGAACAGTTCATTTGGATTTTTTCTAAAGCGCAGTAACTTAATTTCTATCTCTTATAACACATACGTGTTTCTCTCTCACTTTTGTAGGTTCCACCGGAGACTTGCGTTTGGCCTCAATGTGAAAGTGAAGCAGAACACCGCACCTCCGCGCACACCGCTGTAGGAGGCCGGTCCTCGGTCATGCTTGAAGAGGGTAGTCCTGCTCTAGACGGCTGACTGCCAGCAAAGCCAATGCTTGCCCTAGATGCCAAGCTTCGCTCCTTTGTCCTGGAGTGAAAGCCCCCTCCAGACACCACCAGAACACCAACCCCAGAACATGCTCCGTGCTGTAAGGATGCCGGCCACCTAAATTCATGCGCCCTCCCTGTGCCGCTGTCGTGGATGGTTTACCATCTGAAGGCCCCTCGAGCTCGCACCCGGGCCCTGCCTCCGTCTCCGAGATGTCTCTGCTCCATGCGCTGGGCCCGGTGCAGACCTGGCTGGGGCAAGAGCTGGAGAAATGTGGCATCGATGCCATGATTTACACTCGCTACGTCCTCAGCCTCCTGCTGCACGACAGCTACGACTACGACCTGCAGGAACAGGTGCGTGCCCCTGTTACGTGGTCCGGGACAGCGCGTGGTGGGGCCGCGGGCTGGGCACTCCCCCCTCTAGACCAGGGCTGCCGGCGGCCACAGCCCCGGACCTTGGCCCCGTCGGTGAGGGGTCACGAGCCCTGCCGCGAAGCTCCCAGTGAGCGCTCCGCCCTGCGACCTGCCAGTGTTGGTTGCACCCTGGTGCAGACTGGCTCGTGGCAGGCAGGCGACAGTTGGCCTGCCCGCAGCCTGGGAGTGGCGCTGCTCGGAGGGTTGGGCCATCAGGTCTGACGGCTAGACCGCTGGATCATTGTGTTAGCGGTATGTTTTAATGCCCCAAAGTTCAACAGTCCATTTTATGTGCAGGAATGATGTTCAGCTGCTTAGTAATCGAAGCACGTGTTACACGTCGGCAGACTTAAAGGCAGGGCGAGACACCTGACTTTGCCTTAAGCCGCTGTGCAGCGCCTGGTGCACCGGCCGTCACAGCATCCTGTTTGACTTACGTGCTGAGTTTACAGCGAGAAAGCGGCCAGGTGTAGGCTCTTGAGTAGAAATCTCAACTTCGATGTCCCTCTCCCAGAGGAGCTGCTGGGAGCGAGTCTGGCCAGGAGGGACGTGGAGTCATCCCGGGCACACACGTGGTCTCTGGGCAACTCTTGTGTGCAAACGCCACGCAAGACAGAGCGTGTCACGGGTAGTGCCTGTGGTTGTGCTGCAGGGGTGTCCCACCCGCGGCCCAAACAAGGCGTAAATTTACTGAAAACCTCTACATGGCTCATCAGCTTCCATTCGTTTGTGTATTTGATGTGCTGATGTGCGGCCCACGACAGCTCCTCCTCTTCTAGTGCGGCTCAGAGGTGCCGGAAGGCCGGGCACCCCGTAAACACTGTCACTGACGCTGAGCGCAGGGACAGTCTCGGAGGGCGCTGGCGTTGCCCTTCCGAAGCCCAGGAGGGCGCAGGGTCGTAAATACAGAGGGTTTCACTGGGCGCTGGGCGCCCGTCACAGGGCGGCACTGCCTCGCTCTGGGGGCTCCCCTCCTTCCCCGCCCAGTGCTGCACTTCCCTGCCCCCAGGGCCGAGGTCAGCTTCCAGGGGACCGACTTACAACCTAATACGTAGGGATGTTTTCTGCTGGTCAGTAGCACATAAAATTTCCTTCCTGAGGCTCTATTATTTCCCATTATCTTTCCAGTAAATGTAAAATATACGTCTTTAGGGGCAAGTAAAATGTTCAATGTAGAAACATGGAAGAATTTTTATTTCCAGAAATGAGGAAGCTATTTCTCTTAACTCAAACATCGTGTGCCCTGAGAATTATATATTAACAGTATCAGCCTAAGATACCTAATCAACACCAAGCAAGGTGTCGGCACAAAGCACTCATGTGTTCGCTGCTCCAACACACCAAAGCGAGTGTGAAGCGCGGGCCTGCCGTGGAGGCCCCGGCCGAGCGCGTCTCTGGCAAGGCGTGCTGGGGGGTCCCCCCAGAGTCTGGGTAGCCGGGACTGGAGGCGGGGGTTTGGGCAGCCGCCGGTGCCCCGCTGTGCTGGACTCCTCCAGAGTCCTGGTTCTTCTTCAGGGAACGGGACAGGTAAAGATCACCGAAAGAGGACGTGTCTGGAGTTATGAAAAGCCACAGGAAAACGAAAGGCCCCTAAAATGCTCTTCACCTTAGCCCGGGGCAGGAGTGCAGAGTCCCACGCTGACGGGGAAGGTCGACTGAAAACGATCCGTTTCCATAAAGGGGACCCAGGGGTGTGTCAGTGCCTCCATGACGTTTCCCTGACGTTTCCCTGACGTTTCCCTGACCGAGGGGGATGCTGTGCTCGCTGGTCTGCAGGGCGCGAGGGCACAGAGCGGAGGGGAGCGTCTTCTTCGGTGGAGGAGGGAGAAGAGACGGGCCTGGCTGACTGGCCTCTGCGACTCGGACTCCAGCTGCTGGTCACGCTCGGCAGCCGCTGTAGGCAGGCAGCGCGCCGCCTGTCCTGGTGGCCTGGGCTCGTGGTGGCCCGGACCCTCAGTTGCAGGTCAGGCGACTCCACTTTTGGGTGTCTCTTTTATCACATCTTTTCCACCCCTGCTCAGTTTTTTAATTAGTTGAACCTGGACTTGAAAATGACCACTTCTAAGGCCAATGCTTCAACCGTGAGCCTTACCTGCCATGTTTAATCGATTGCCGGTCTAGTCCCAGTTAAAACGAACCCTTAGAGGGCTCACGGGCTCCAGGAAATGGCTGCTGTGCGCGACTCCGGCCTCCACCGCCCAGGGTGACTGGGCCGCCCAGGGAGCGAGACGGCCCGGCCCGGGCCCCGGTCGAGGCTGAGGGACGCGCAGGCGCTCGTGGGCCTCCGGCTCAGGGACACGTGCGCCCTTGTGGCGCCGGCGGTGTGCTCTGTGGGCCTTCTCGTGTGTCCCGGTTGCTTTATTTCCACAAATGCTGCTTTCTGTTCTCTGTCCTTCCTGTCCTTTTCTCCTTTGGTTGTGATTGCCACTCTGTGGTAAACGTGCTCTCAGATAATCAGGCGTTGGCTGTGCGCCACTTTAAAATGGAAGTGTGAACGGCGCTTCTGACGCATTCTTCAGGGCCGGTCGCGGTGCCCTGTGAACCCTTTCCTGGTGGCCCCGGTGAAAACACGGTCCTCTCCTCCAAACGCGCGTACCTTTCTGCGGTGGACCTCGTCATTTTAGTTATCAGAAGGTGTCTCTCTTTCCCAGGAGGGAAGGTTCTTATGGGCAGAAATCACATGTTCATCTTTTAAAAAGTTTAACTTCTTGAGAAATAATTTCAAACATCAAGAGAATAGTGAGAACAGCATGAAGGACCCTCACGCAGTCTTCGCTTTCACCAGTCGCTGGCAGCTTTCCACTTTTACTGTATTTCTTTCCTCTCCATTTTTCCTTTTTTGATGCCCACTTACCCTAAATAAGCATATTTTTAAAATTTTTTAAATTTATTTTTAGAGAGGGGGGACGGAGTGAGAAAGAGAAAGAAACATCGATGTGAGAGAGGAATGTCAGTTGGTTGCCTCTCACCCGCCCCCCACTGGGGCCCTGGCCCACAACCCAGGCCGGTGCCCTGACCAGGAACTGAACCAGCGACCCCCTGGTTCACAGGCCAGCACTCGGTCCACTGACCCACACCAGCCGGGGCAGATGTTAGCTTTTTAATTTAGGTCCCAGGACTCCTAGAATTTCACTAACTGTTGTAGATATGCAGTAAGCATGAAATCTGTACAAGAATACAAGAGGGTTTTTCCCTCGTTTAACTTTTTATTGAGGTATTAAAGGCATACAGAAAAAGGTGCAAATTGTTGAATTTTCACAAAGATCACATCTATGTAATTGCACCCAGACAAATAGACAGAACATACGGTCATCAGCCTAGAAGCCGCCTCCGCCCGCGCAGCCTCAGACCTCTCTCGCGCTGGGGGGTCCAGCCCTGCCGCTGTCTCCACGCCTCCGGTTTTCCCAGACGCCGGCACCTTCATCTCTAGCTCTTACCTTCAGGGCCCTGAGACGCCGCCCGCAGCTCTGCTGCTTCCCCTGCCTCCCCAAAGGCCGCCTCTCTCTAGCCTCTCGCGCTGGCCTAGGACCGGCACGTCCTGGGGAGAAAGCAGCTGCCCGTCCGTGCCCGCTGGTGGCCGCCTCCCGGGCTTCTCAGGGTCTCACGGGCCGCCGATGCCTTCACACAGGGGCCGTGTGTTGCTTTTGTGCTTCTGAGAGTTGGTTACTTATTTATTTATTTTAAAATTCTATTTTATTGACTAGGCTATTACAGTTGTCTCAATTCCCTCCCTTTGTCCCCCTCCTCCTGGCAGCCCCCTCTCCCTCAGGCAACCCCCACATCGTTGTCCCATCCACGGGACCTGCGTGTAAGTTTTGTGGCCACTCCATTCCCTGTACTGTATGTCCCCGCGGCTGTCCTGTGACTCCCTCTCTGCACTTCTTAACCCCCTCACCTCTTCACCCTTTCCCCCCACAGCCCCTCCCCTCAGGTGACGAGAGTCGGTTGCTTTTTTAAAAGACTTGAGTTTTTAGAGCATATATCCCTGACGCCACCCATGCATAGCCTCCCTGTTACCGGTATTCCTCACCAGAGTGACGCCTGTCATGATGACTGGACCCACATTGACACGTAATCACCCGGAGGCCACAGTTTACAGTGGGAGCCTCCCTCGGTGCCGCGCGTTCCACGGGTCTGCGCAAATGCAGCCGTGACGCGCGTCGCCCTCCCAGTGCCGCGGGGAGCGGCCCGCCGGCCTGGGCTCCCTCTGCGCCCTGCCTGTTCGCGCCCCGCCCCACCCCCGACGACCGGTCTTCCCGGTGTCTCCTGGCTTTGTCTTCTCCGGAGCGTCAGGTGGTCCGCACCAGTGTGCGGCCTTCGCGGGGGGTTTCTGTCCCTCAGTGGCGCGCGTTTATGTTCTGCTGCGTCCTTTCATGGCTTCACAGCGCGCTTCGCTTCAGGCTGGACCACAGCCCACCGTGTGGATGGGCCGCAGGGCGTTCACTCCTTCCCCCGCCCGAGGGCTCTTGCCCCCAAGGCTGGCAGCTGCTGTGAACGTCTGCCTGCAGCTTCGGTGCGGGGGTGAGTGGTCGGCTCCTTTGGGCAGGTACCACGGAGCCTGGTGGCTGGGGGAGGGGTGAGGGCGTGGTTAGTTTTGTAAGCCACCGCCAGCCTGCCTGCCACAGTGGCTGCATCAACCCCCACCCCCCCTCCCCCTGCCAACAGGAGGGAGCGGCCCTGTGCCCCACATCTTCCCGGCACTAGGTGGTGTCAGCGTCCCGCATTTTGTGCAGTCGGCAGAGGATGTAGTGGCGCTGCATCGTTTCAATTTGCCTCCCCCTGATGCCATGACGTGGAACGTCTCTCTTGTGCTTGCATGTCATCACTGTCTCTGCTTTGGAGACAGGTCTGTTGAGGCTGTTGTCAGGGTGTTTGTTTCCTTTTTACTGAGTCATTAAGAGTTCTTCGTTTATTTTGGCTGGTGAATGTGTTCTCCCAGC